CAAGCTTCTGGTGGTGGTTGCCACGCAGAGTGCCCACGTGCCTTTGGAGGAATGAGCTAGGAGAAGCCTGGAGCAAGCCAGATGGCTGGGGGGCGGGCGGGCTGGGCAGGAGCGCTTGCCATGGTTTTGAGTTTGATTCTCAGAAGCCACGTAAGAAAGCTGGATGCAGTGGTGCACATCTGTAATCCTACCACTCTACTGTGAGATGGGAGGTGAAGACAGAAGAATGTTTTAGAAGCAGAAGTATTGGATAGAAATATATCTTGATTCCACAATAAGCAGAATGCATGTGGCTTTCTGTGTATGCTCCACCAAGCATGATGTCCTCCCCATCAAACCCGTCACTCCATTCCAGGTCATACTGTCTCTGGTCAGCCCATCCTCTCTTTGTGGTCAGCAAAGTGTCCTCCCGCAAAGTCTTCAAGGTGAAGGTTCTGTATGTCATTTAGGTGTGCAGGGAACACTTCAAGTTGGACCACCCCCACCCCCATAGTTGTTCCGTGGGATCAATTGAGACGGTATTCACTGATCGTGGCTGTCCTGTGCAGGGTGGAGGAGCTACGGCGCCTCTGTGGGTTTGATGGAGGACAGTGCTGGTTTCTGCCTCTGTGGGTCTGATGGAGGACAGTGCTGGTTTCTGCCTCTGTGGGTCTGATGGAGGACAGTGCTGGTTTCTGTTGTCCTAGCAAGACTATCCACTGGAGTTTTCCAGGGTTAGCTGCTGTGGGAAGCAGACAGTGGCTTGCCAGTGGCTCACCACAGGGACATCACCAAATGAGTCCTTGGAAGAAGACACATCAGAGCATCCCCTCTCCTGTGTAAACAAGAAAGCTGATGACAGGTGACACCTTACTTCATCTTCAATCACCTAGATCCATGACTATGACTGATGGTTAAGAATAATTATGTTCAAGATGGAGGCTCATTCAGCCATATGCAGGGGCCTCTTGACAGGGAATTTGAGCTGTGACTAGTAGAATTTCTGCCACTTCTTTCTCCCAAGCCTGTGTTAGCAGTGCCCCACCTTCCTTTGGCTGATGCCATCAGAGGATACCCTGAAATGAAGACATACCCTCCCCAGAATCAGAGAGGGGACCCACGTTAACACCGGCGAGACAGTTTCCTAACCAATAGGTTTAAGGGAAAATTTGATAGCTAAATAAAGCCTCAATATTGATTGATTGATTGATTGATTGATTGGCAGGAATATGGCTTTTGGGCTTGTTATAAGCATCTAGAAAACAATGGTCACCCAGCCTTCAGCCAGTGTCCTCACAGAACCTTTTATTACAAAGAGGAACATTTCCTTATCCTGGAGGAGACTGAGCTGAGAGGCAGAGGGACGGCCAGGTTTCCAAGCCTGCATCCTGCAGAGAACTCACAACCACAGAATGTCTTCCGCAACCTGACTATCAGGTGTATGCAGCAGAGGGCATGCTTTGGTGTGTGTTCTGATCTCTCGTGATGTGTAACTGTTGAGGGAGGACGAGAGAGCAAGGAGCTGCTATGTTCACACAGACTAAGGGGCAGGACCTGGGCAGCGCGTGAATCGTCCAAGATTAGAGCTGGGTTTCAGCAAAGTTTGTAGTGCGGCCTCCTGCCCAACTGCCACAGCAAGACAGTAATGTTTTGTTGGAGTGTGAATTGGCAGAGGGTTATACCCCAGTGGCAAGGTGTTCCCAATCATCTTGTTGTTGATTGGTTTAAGGGTGCTCCATGAGTCTGGATCAGACCATGGAATTTCAAGGGAAGAGGGTCTCTTGGAATCTTCTAGAAGAGATGGCTCTTTTCTTTCTTGGAAGTCACTGGGGCTGAGTGTGATGACTGAATGCAATGTGCTCCCTGGGAGCAGGAAGAACCAATGTTAGGATGAAGATAATGATGAGGCGGCGGGCAGAAAACAGGAAGGAACTTGCGTCAGTCCACCCACACAGCCCAAATAAACCAGCTTAAGGTCCTGGGTAGCTAACGGTGAGAGCATGGAGGAAGTGGGGATGCCCTGAGACAAACACGTGAACAAGGAGGCGAGGGCTGAGGATGATCCGTGGAATGGGGAGAAAGGGACAGCCAAGACTTTTCAAGGAGGGGAAGCTAAATGTAAGACCCTATTGTGGTAGATTCAAAACTGCCTACCTATGAGCCAAGTAGAAACATGAGCAAAATGACAATGTTTAAAATATAATTGGGGGTCAGCGAGATGGTTCAGTGGTTAAGAGCATTGGCTGCTCTTGCAGAGGACCTGGGTTCAGTTCCCAGCACCTATATGGCTGCTCACAACCATCTGCAATTCCAGTTCTAGGGGATATGGTGCCTGCTTTTTGCTTCTGTGGCACCAGACATGCATGCGACACACAGATGCAAACAAAACACGCATACACACAAAATAATAACAAATTAATATTAAAATAGATGCAGTTTACGTTACTGCCAAAGATACCACACAGTGTGGTTACAGGACACAGAGGAACCACTCTGGAATTCAGCTGGGAGCTTCTCCTTGGAAGCTAATAGAGCAGGAAAGTGCCATGTAGGCATTTTGGGGGAGCCTTACCAAGTGGTAAGGTCAGTGGTCTTACCCAAATCTGGACCCTAAATATTACAATAGTAACCTCCTAGGCAAGATGGACTCACTGGTGCAATAGTGGCATTGCTGTCTGAGAGGTAAACAACCACCTTCTGCTTGAATTTGAGGTCTCTCCATGGGATGGAGTAAAATCTAGGTACTGCAAACTTGGTGAAAAACACTCTGATATTTTGCCAAGCAGACACATGGTCAAACTGCTTTCTGGATATTTGTGATCATATCTGTAGATTAGTGCTGGTCTTGGCCTTGGCCTTGGCCAGAGAAGGAACTCCTAACTGGTCAAAGGTCTGAGGATAAGTGACTGTGGGTGCTCATTCTTAAACATGGCATTGGAATCACCCTCTGCAAGGCCCAGGGAGCACTGAAGAAGGATGCTTTGTAGCAGGCTTTCTCAGCCCACCGGCCCCCAAATCACGACATGGAGACTTATTATTACTTATGAATGGGCTCGGCCTTAGTTTAGGCTTGTCCTACTAGCTCGTATAGCTTATTTTAACCTGTTTCTCTTTATCTACATTTTGCCTTGGACTTTTCACCTTTCTCTCATACTGTATGTCCTAATTTCCTGCTTCCTCCTTCCTCCACGTCTGGCTGGCTGGTGGTTGTCTGGCTGGCCTCAGGCAGCTCTCTCTTCTTTCTTGTTCTCTTCCCTCTTGAGTTTAGATTCCTCCCCTTACTTATTCTCTCTGCCTGCCAGCCCCACCTACCCCTCTACTGCCTAGCCGATTGACTGTTCAGCTTTTTAGTAGACCAGGCAGGTGCCTTACACAGGCAAGCTGAAACAAATGTAACACATCTTTACATAGTTAAACAAATGTGTTTTTTTTTTTGTTTTTGTTTTTGTTTTTCGAGACAGGGTTTCTCTGTGGCTTTGGAGCCTGTCCTGGAACTAGCTCTTGTAGACCAGGCTGGTCTCGAACTCACAGAGATCCACCTGCCTCTGCCTCCCGAGTGCTGGGATTAAAGGCGAGCGCCACCACCGCCCGGCCCATAGTTAAACAAATGTAACAATCTTCACATAGCTAAAGTAATATTCCACAGCATAAACAATGTAACAATCTTTGCATAGTTAAAGTAATATTCCACAGCATGAACAAATGTAACAATCTTTACATAGTTAAAGTAATATTTCACAGCATAAACAAATGTAACAAACTTTACATAAAGTAATATTTCACAGCATAAACAAATGTAACAATCTTTACATAGTTCCACAGCAATGGGTTAAGTGTTGAAGGATGGGAGGAGTGCTGTGAAATGCTGCCCTCTGGGCGTGATGTCGCTACTGCACTTGTGAACACACAGCACCTGTGACTTCTCAACTAGGGAGACTAGTTGAGAAGAGGAGGGTTAGCGAGGTTGAGATGAGCATGAGAGCGGGTGGTGGGGCTGGATGTGACAGTACATTGCATGTGTATGTGTGTGTGTGTATATATATACACACACACATATATATAATTATCAAAAAGAAAAACAGATTTTAAAATCTAATTGGAAAAGAGGTTGGAATGTAGCTTAGTTGGTAGAGTGATTGCCTGGGTGGACCCCCAGTACCACATAAAACTACATGTGAAGGTACATATCTGTAATTCCAGAAGTTTTGAAGTGGAAGCAGACAGATCATGCTTGAGTTCAAGGTCATTCTCAGCTACATAGCAAATTCAAGGCCAGCCTGGGATGCGCGAGAATAAACAAATAAATCCATAAAAGTGAAGGGAAGACTATTTATTCACATAACAAAAATAATGTTGATAGTTTGGTATGTGATGGTCCATTTTATATGTATGTGCATATGGTTTAATCTTCTTTTGTCTTTTCTTCATTTTTTCTGGTCTTTTCAAAACAAGGTTTCTCTGTGTAAACTTTGCAGTTTGGAAGTCACTCTATAGACCAGGCTGGCTTTGAACTTACAGAGCCAGGCTCTGCCTCCTAAGTGCTGGGATTAAAGGTGTGAGCCACCACGCCTGGCCACTATAATCTTTTTATAAAAAGTGAAATTCTCTACCTACTTCTTGTAGCCAGATTGTTTTAAGTCATGTTTTCCCCTGCCATCAATTATCCATTATCTCCATATCTGTCAAAGAGCTAGACTCTCAATAGTGTAAGAATAGTCATAGAACGGGAAAGCATGTTTGAAAATAATATCTTTGAAGAGATAGTATATCTGGAATATGTATATACAAACAATCAGACTAAAAAGTGGACAAAAAGGAGCTGGAGCAACAGCTCAGCAGTTTAAAAAAAAACCCACTGCCCTTGCAGAGGACCCAAGTTGGATTCCCAACACCTATATCATGTGACTCGCTGCCACTTGTCACTCTAGTCCCAGGGAATCTGATGTCTTATAGCCTCTGCACATAACTAAAGAATAAAAGTTAAAGGGTTTGTGTGTGTGTGTGTGTGTGTGTGTGTATGTTTGTTTTTGTTTTGTTTTGGTTTGATTTGGTTTTTTGAGACAGGGTTTCTCTGTAGCGTTGGAGCCTGTCCTGGAACTAGCTCTTGTAGAGAGATCCGCCTGCCTCTGCCTCCCAAGTGCTGGGATTAAAGGCGTGCGCCACCACTACCCAGCAAAAGTTAAAGTTTTTACAGTGAACTTTGCTTTTCTTTTTTAAATAGGCAAAGGACTTGAATAGTAAGAATGTGATAAGACGCCCAACATCTCCAATTATCAGGAAAACATAAGTTAAAATACCTGGAGAATAGCTGTGATAAAAATAACTAGACAGAAAACAATGGCTGCAGATGAAGGATATGGAGAAATTAGAATGTTTATATCCTGTTGGTGGTAATATAAAACAGTGCAGCCATTGTGGAAAATGTTATAGAAATCATTCAAAATAGAGACCATCGTCACATGACCCAGAGATAGAACTCTTGGGCCTGCATGCTAGTTACTTGCCTCACTGCTGTGACAAAATCCATCATGGAAGGAACTTAAGGAAGGCGGGGTTTATTTTGGCTCATGGTTTTAAGGGCTACAGTCCATCATGTTGGAGATGACACGGCAGCAGGAGTAGATCTAGCTGTAATGGCTGAACAACGAGCCACACTTCATCCTCAGGAAGAAGAGAGATGAACCCATTGGTGTTCAGCTCACTTCCTCCCTTTCCTTGTGTTTATTCAGCCTGAGGCCCCAGGATATGGGAGGGTGAGGGCTCACATTCAGGGTGGGTCATCCTTCCTCAGTTAAACCTCTTTGGAAGCAACCTCATAGAAAAGCTCAGAGGTGTGTCCCGCAGGTGATTCTAAACCCAGCAAGGTCAACAATCAAGATTAACTGTCACCACCAGATCCAAGAGAATTGAAGACAGCATCTCAATGTGATACCAACACACCAATGCTTATTGTCCTCATGTGCCCAGAGCAAATAACAGCCAAAAGGCCTGTTAGTAAATGAGTGGTATATCTGCACAGTAGGAGATATTCAGCATTGAACATAAAGGAATTCTGTCTTCTGCTAGAAGGTGGATGATCCTTGAGGACATGGTGCTACTAGAATAAAGCAATCCCAGACTAAAAACGCCTCATGATTCCACTCAAGTACATTAGCAAAACTCATCAGGGGAAAAAAGTGAAATGGTGGTAGCCAGGGCCTGGTGGGGTGGGGGGTTGTGTGCAGTGGGCTTAGAGTCTGAGTCTTGCAAGATGAGAATGTTCTAGAGATCTGTTGCCTTTGCAGTGTGCATACCGGCTCTGCACTGTGCACTGGAAACCTCATGGGAAAAGCATGTTAGGCTTTTATTTTCCCCAACCACAGTTAAAGCAGAAGAACCCTTTGATAAGGGACCATTCTGACTCGTGCTGTTGGTAGTTGCTCTGACGAGCTACCCTAACCCTGACTTCCTCTGCAGAGCGGATGTTGCAGTGCAGGTCATGGGGAGGACCCAGGTCGGGAGGCACACTACTCTCTCTGCCTGCCTTGCTCTCTCTGCTATTCTCCTCTCTCTGTTACTCTCCCCTGGCTAACCTCTGGTTAGAACCAGCATGCCATGCATCTATGTAGGCCACAGCTCTATTTAAGGGTGTGTGGCCTTCTGCTTCCGGCCCTGGAGCAAACACACCTGCTGGGAAATGCAACCTCAGCTTCTGTGGCAAAGTCATGGATGTCTGAGTTCTCTCCACTCCAGGCCCTGGGCCTGTCAGGTTCCTCAGAAGTGCATGCTAGGGGTGGCCTCAGTGTCCAGGACAGACAGAGGACGGATCCTGCTCCACACTCCCTGAGCTCTCTGTGACAGAGTCATAGCATAGACTAGCCACACCACTGGGTCCCTTCTGTTTCCCTGTGCTTTAGTCTTAGACTCTGCACGAGCTTTTTCATCAAGGGACACGCTGCTGTCTTTCTGCAGCTTGGGTTCCATTCCAGCGGTTCTCACTCCAGGCTGACCGTGGTGGGTGGAAGGCATAGGGCAGGTGAGGATGTATAGGAGGAGCAAGATTCTAGTACTGCAGGTGTGATGATAGCTAGGGGGTACTGAGCAGGGTCCCCATGGTGTGTAGAGTGGAGATCATGCCTGGCTAAGCCCTTTGGGCACCAGCCTCACTCACTACCCACTGAGGACTTAAAGATGTTTCTGGAACGAGAGTCCAGACTGGGAAGGCTCTGCTTATGCTCCAGTCTAAGGGACAATGTCTTTTTCCAGAATTTCAGAGTCCGAATTGCTGCTGACAGTGTGTCTCCACTGTTCCTCGGGGACCTTCCCAGTTGACCTCTTCAGCCAGAGGACAACACCAGCCAAGATGAGCAAGGCAGGCACCTTCAGAAATGCCAGGAGTATGTAGTGTGTCCTATGAGAAAGATACAGCCATCAGGGCCCCATGCCTTTGAATCCCATGATGCCCCATCCCCAGCACTGGTAAGTCGACAGCCAGCTCATCACAGCCTGATACTGAAGGCTCACATCCTACTTGGAAGATCCCCCAGGGCCTTCTCCAAGGACCGTCCAACCACGGGGCTCCTCGATGACCATGTGGTCTTAGTATGGCTTGTCCCTGTTCCAATTTTACATTCGGGGGTGGGGTTCTTCTTTCCCTCCTCCCAGCAGAAATCTGGAGTTCTCCACATCTGGGCTGTGTCTGCTTACTCTGCCCTCAACATTCGCTCCAGGCTGGCAGATCTCTCCCTGCCCTGTTTCTGTGATGAGACTGGAACCTTATGGGATCATCTCTTCCCTTGATGCCACCAGGGCTGGGTAGTAATGAACAGCTCTACAGAGTAGTTTTCTGGTGGAGCTGGAATGGGACCATGGTGGGGGCAAGGACCAGGGACAGAGGTGGCCTTGGGACCTTGAATCTTGACTATGACAATCATTGGCACCTGATGATAGAACCTGGATTTGGCACCCTGGTAGGAAGAACCCATGTAGAGGGAGCAGAAGGGACTTCAGGACTCACCTCTTATATAAGTCAGAGGAAATCACATGTGTGTTGCTATCCATAGAGGCGTCTAGCTGGGAAGACATGGTATCTCTTCCCTCTAGACATAAGCAAAGATGGCCACAGGTTATGGAACAGATTGGGGGTGGTTCATGCATGGCTCATGTTGGCACCCCATCCAACCATCCCTCACTGGGTGTCTTAGTCAGGGTTATTATTGCTGTAATGAAGCACCATGACCAAAACAAGTTGGGGAGGAAAGGGTTTATTTGGCTTACACTGCCGTGTCCTAGTCCATCACTGGAGGAAAGAAGGACAGGAACTCAAGCAGGGCAGGAACCTGGAGGCAGGAGCTGATGCAGAGGCCATGGAGGGTGCTGCTTACTGGCTTGCTCCCCATGGCTTACTCAACCTAACTTCTTTCTTTCTTTCTTTCTTTCTTTCTTTCTTTCTTTCTTTCTTTCTTTCTTTCTTTCTTGCTCTCTCTCTCTCTCTCCCTTCCTTCTTTCCTTCCTTTTCTTCCTTCTTTACTTCTTCCCTTTCTTATTTTTACTTCCTTCCTTCCTTTCTTAAATGATTTTTCTTTATTCTTTTCTTCTTTTAAAAATTTTCTGTGCATGGGTGTTTTGCCTTCATATGTCTGTGTGGGAACTAGGGTCACAGACAGTTGTGAGCTGCCATATGTGGGCCTTGGGAATTGAACCTGGGTCCTCTGGAAGAGCAACCATTGCTCTTGCCTGCTGAGCCACCTCTCCAGCTCCTCATCCTGCCTTCTTGTAGAACCCAGAGCCACCAGTCCAGGGGTGGCACTGCCCACAATGGGCTGAATCCTCCCACATCAATCACTAATTAAGAAAAAGCCCTACAGGCTTGCCTGCAGGCTGATCTTACGGAGACCTTTTCTCTATGGAGGTCCATCTCCTCCAGTGACCCTGGCTTGTGCCGAATTGACATAAAACTATCCCCTGGATCAGGAAGCCCCATCTCTCTGATCCAGTCCTTTGGCTTCTATTGAGCTGTCAGAGTCCCCGTACAGTCATTTCCTTCATCATTTTTATTAATAGGATATATGACAAGGAGATATGGAAATCAAGGAGGAGAAAGACTGTAGCTAGTTCTGGAGGAGGAGACACCCACAGTCTCTTTCCACTTCCTTTGGCTGGGGGGATGAACCTCTGTTTCTTTCCATTCAAACAGTGCCCAAGTAAGGCTCAAGGACTGATGATTTCAGTAACAAGTCTCTAGTGGCCAGGGTGGTGAGTGACAGAGGGGCTCCTGAAGGTCGCTGAGCAAGAAGGCACATGCTAGACTAGCTATATTGTGAATGGCTCTGAGGAAGGAAATGTCAGAGAGGAAACTACGGGCAGTTTGTAGTGGGTGGCTGGGTCATGGATTCCTGAGCCCAGCTGGGCGTTAGCTTCTCTGGCTAGTCCTTTGGGCTAGCTCCTGACCCACCAAACCCTTCTTGCAAAGGTTTCGGGTTTTAATAACACTTGGAAGCTGAGCAGAACTCTGGGGAGCTCCAGTCCTTGCAGTCCTCCAAGAGGTCACAGTCACCATATAGGCTGGTGTTCCCCCATCCCCCTGGACACTTCAAGCTCAGCATGGGGCACATTCTTAGGCTACTCTGTCTTTTGCCTACATGTCTTATTCAACCCTCTGTCTCCACAGATCATCGTAGCTTCCCCTGAGCAGTATCCCTGGGGAAATCTTTTTTGGAGCGACCCTTTCTGCACCTCACATCTCCTAGGAGGCAACGTTTGTAACTCATTGGTTTCAGCCCCGTCACTCCAAGGGCTGACTTCAGTGCCAGCGCTGTGTTTGCCTGCTGCCTTCTCAGGAGCCAGCATGTGCGCTGGGCTGAGGAAGCTCTGAGCATGGGTGGAAGTGGGGAGGGCTGCTTTTTGGGTACCAACAGAAGACCCTGGAGTCCCTCAATGAGGATGACGCAGGAAGAAGCCAGGAGAACCAGGGACATCTCTGATTTTGATTTAGTAACCAAAGCCTCCATTTAAAGCATCTACTTAACACTTGCAAGCCTCCGGGGTCTTCCTTACCACACGCTTAGTCTTCTGTAGTCAGAAAAAGCAGAAGTGGTCACTCGGAAAGTTCAGGCCCTTCGAAGTGCCCAGAGTCACTGTGGTTTGGCTAGGCCTGGCCTTCAACCCTCGGCCCTCCCCAATGATGCCTTAGCTCCCCCCCCCCCCCCGTCCCATGTAAATCACAGGACAAGGGTACAAGTTTTAAAAAACTAGAAACTTCTCAGCCTGTGGTGCTGAGGGCTTCTTCAGGCATCCAAGACCTACTCAAGGCTCCAGGGGAAGAATGTGAGTTTCTAGGGCTGTGGAGCTCCGGGATGCAGGGTGGCAGGGCTCGGCCGTGGCTCCCAGAGGGAGATGTCAAAGCCCCAGCCCCACACCAACATCTGCCAGTCAGGACTCACGTTTACTGACTTCCTTAGAGTGACCCCAAGAGCTAGCATTGATAAAAGTGTTGGGATGCTATTCTTCCTTACTTCTGTCACTGCCCTGTCCCATCTCTCTGTCTGTCTCCTAGATTCCCAGTCCTTTAGTCCCAAGCACCAGAACTTTGTGGTAACCCATAGGCCAATGCTTACCTGGGTAAACGGTCACTTTAACTCTGGTTCCACGGTCCGTTCCGAATTTTTCAATACCACACCAGTAAGTGTCTGTGTCATTTTGCCTGAGCATCTCCATGGTAACCAGGAGCGAGTTCTCTCTCCAGTTGTCCCTGATGGACAACCGGCCACTCTTCCTTTCTTTCTCTGATCCCGTGGTTCGAATGAGGACCCTGCAGGTCTTCCAGTTTGCTCCTCGACACCACCACTTGTTGTAGGCTTGCCATCTGGAGCTATAGCGACATTGAATGGTTACTGACCCCTTCTCTGGGCCTCTCACCCATGCTGGGCCTTGGATGGCGAAACAGCCTGGACAAGAAACAGGAGGACAAGATACGGCTTCCGCTCCTCTAAGCCAACCTAACGTCCAAAGGATTAGAGAAGGGTCCTGCTCACTCCAGCCGCCATGACCCACTTGGATCCTCACATCTGTTTCCTCAGAGGTCCAGTGTGCTATTAACCCCTGCATGCCCGTGCCCTGGCCTCTCCAGACTTTATCTCCCCAGGCCTCCTGTATCATGTGACACTTCTGATTTCCTGACACCTTTTCTGTGTCCTCTTGTCACTGTTCTCATCTGATCGCCTCCCTTCTCTGACTAGTCCACTCTGTGACCTTTCTCTTTCTTCTCTCTGGATCTTAGAGTGGCATGCTGGGAAATGGTCAACAGTCTTCTATCTAGGTAATATCCCTCCATCTTAGCAACATCTGCCAATCTCTGTGGTGTAAATGTCCCCCACTGAGACTGACATCAGGCTATCAGTGAGCACTGAGCTGAGCTGAGATGTCTCAAACCAAGTCTGGCGAGCCATTTTGAGCTGGTTCTACAGGCACCTGGGGGAATCCAGGGCGTGAGTTACCTTCGTCCCAGCTGTGACAAAACTGCCCGACCAGCAACCTAAGGAAGGAAGCAGGGTTTAGTTTTTGTTTTTATTTTCAAAATTCTGGTTTAAGGGCTGCATCCATCATGGCAGGGACTGTATGGTGGTGGGAATACGAGGTGACTGGTCACGTTGCATCTGCTGCCATCGGGAAGCAGAGAAGAATGCTGGTACTCAGCTGGCTTCTCATGAAAAGAAAATATCCAGCCCAGACTCCCAACCCATGGCGTGGTGCTACCCACACTCAGGGTCATCTTCCCTCATCATGTAAGTCCCCAGAAAGACCCTCACAGCTCTATACCCAGATGCGTGTCTCCTAGGTGGCTCTAATCTGACCGTGAAGCACCACACCCAGCACCCTCTCTCTAGCCTTCTTGCCTCCACAGGAGGACACCCCATGTCTATGGTTCTAATTAATGCCTACAATCTGATGGTTTCCAAGAGACACTTGTAACCCAAATGCTGCCCTTGGTTCTAGACCATCATTCCAAACATCCGCCATGTGATAGCACCTCTGCCACAAAGCCCGCTCTGCTTCCTGTCTCTAAAAGAGTCCAAAATAGATTGGAATGTGTATCCTGCTGGTCTGTGGAGTGACACCCTTTCTGCATAGTGACTCGTGTTCCCAGTCACCTGGAGGCAGACAAAGAGGCAGAGAGCTGCTGCAGGGAAAGGCTTTCTTGACCAGCTCCCAGTCTTAGACTTTGGTCTCTGCGAGTGGGGCACATTTGCGCAAGAGCCTGGTGCCGTCCCTCACACCTTGGGCCTGCTCCATAGAGCTAATTTAGTTTTAATTTGAGGTCTCAATCTATGCTTGACAGAATAACCCTTCTTCACATTTATTTATGTATGTATGTATGTATGTATGTATGTATGTATGTATGTATGTATGTTGAGACAGGCTCTTACTATGTAGCTCTGGCTAGCCTGAAATTCACTAGATAGATTCACAGTGGTTCTCATGGTTCTCAACCTTCCTAATGCTTCCGCCATTTAATACAGTTCCTCGTGTTGTGGTGAGCTCTAACTATAAAAGTATTATTATTATTATTATTATTTTGGGGCTTTTTTTTGAGGCAAGGTTTCTCTGTGTAATAGCCCTAGCTGTCCTGGAACTAGCACTTGTAGACATGTCTGGCCTTGAACTCACAGAGATCCATCTGTCTCTGCCTCCCAAGTGCTGGGATTAAAGGTGTGCCCCACCACTGCCCGGCCATAAAATTATTTTTATTGTAACACCATAACTGTAATTTTACCTTTGCTTTGAGTTATAATGTAAATATCTGTGTTTTCCAACGGTCTTAGGAAGCCCCTTGGAAAGGGTTGACCACTGCACTACGTAGACCAGGCTGCCCTTGAACTCATAGACACATGCCTGCCTCTGCCTACTAAGTGCTAACTATTGACATTCTAATACCAACCTATTACTATTTGCCCTCACACAGAAAAAGGGAGGCCGGCGAGATGGGTACATGGGTAAAAGTTCTTGTGAAACCTGAGTTCAATCCCTGAAACCCACGTGAAGGTGGAAAGGGGAAACTGACTCCACGAAGTTGCCCTCTGACCTCCACACAAGCTCTGTAGCAGGCACATGCACACCAATGAAAATAAGAAAATAAAATGGCCCTTCAACTACAGACATACCCCCGTCTGCAGTTTTAAAAAGAAAAAGAATAAAGGCATTTACAGGTGTGATCAGGGATATTGAGATAAGATTGTACTGGATTATTCTCTGAGTCCTGATGAATGAATGTTGAAACTGGTTTAGGTCTGAAGGCATTCTGTTGCAGGCCTTGAAGAGGAGGAGAGACCATGGGCCAAGAGACTCATGGGGGCTTTTGGATGAAGCCCAGAAATGGATGGTTCTCCAGAGCTGCAGAAGGAACTCAACCTTGAGACTAGTGAGACCGTTTTGGACTCTTGATCTTGGACCAGCAGGATGAAGTGATGTTGTTCTGGGCCACTGCATTTGTGGTCACTGGGTACAACAGCCACAGGAGGCACATAAAAGATTCTGACAGACCCCCTTGTAAGCACTGAGCTCACTCCACTCGGGAGCCACATTGGAGAATTAGCATCTATATTGATTTCTCCTCTCCTTCCCTCCACAAGTGACTGGTCGCCAGTCCAGCCAACTGCACCCTGGAAATGCCGATCTGAACCGTCTTCTTTACATCTTTGTTATCACAGCCCATGGGACGTCACGACAGAGCAGAGAAAGTGTGAACTTTGCCAGCAGATGGACACATCTACCATGGTGTTATTGAGAAACCCTAGGGAGGTTACTTAACCTCGCTGAGCCTCACTTCCCCCTTAGCACAGCTGCCATGCTTCTTTCAGTCAGATTCTGGCTGTTATAAACCTCATGTAACCGTCTAATGTTGGGTATTGGGCTGTTTGGCCGGAGACGGCTCTCGTCCGGTACTTGGGTCGTGGTAGTAGCATTCAGAAAGGTCTGGTGCATCCTTCTTTCAAACCGCTTTCGGGACCGGACTGAGCCTGCCTCCTCATCAGCTGCACCCAGCATGTCAGCTACTCCCCTGCACTCTCAACTGCACCCAGCATGTCAGCTACTCCCCTGCACTCTCAACTGCACCCAGTATGTGAGCTACTCTCCTGCCCCCCTCAGCTGCACCCGGCATCTCATCTACTCCCCTGCCTCCTCTGCACCCAGAATGTCACTTATTCCCCTTCTCAGCTGTACCCAATGTATCAGCTACTCCCCTGCGCCCTCAGCTGCACCCAGCATGTCAGCTACTCCCCTGCTCCAGAGTGACTGGAAAAGCTTCATTCCTGCAATGGATGTCTTATTGCAAACTGGTTTTAGTTTCTCCTTAGTGTCATTCCTTGCTCCTCTTGTAGCCACCCGAGCCTTTCTTTCCCTAACCCCAATGCGCCCTCTCAAGGCTGTGGACCAGGCTGAGCTCCTTCCCAATGCCCCACCCTCTTCTTGGAGCTGCCTCTTCCTGTTGGCCACTGGCCTTTTGTCTGGAGCCCGATGGCTTTGTATCTCTTTTCCTAACATCCTCCGTAGGTTTCTCACTCCCAAAGCCCAGAGGTGCTGCGCTTCCTTTCTCCCTTTTTCCATCCCCAACCCCAGGGTCTTGCTCAGTGCCTTGCTCATGGTGGGTATCACTAAAGTTGTTAGCTATTTTTGTGAAGAATCTGTGCATTGTGGTCACATACACAACCATCCTAGCTCTAGGATTGCTAAAGACAGTGGAGTGGGAATTATCCTCACCACAGATGCAACAGTAAACACCTGGAAAACTCAAAGACCACTAATAGGAATTAGAATGGAAAGTTCTGATACAGCGATACATAGTTAAAAAGTAAAGAGCATTGTCCAAACAATGACAAGAGTGATCCCAAAGCACACTATTATTAGATTATTTTTTAAAGTTACCTAACAGGGTAGGTGCACGCCTTTAGCCCCAGCATTCGGGAGGCAGAGGATCTCTGTGAGTTTGAAGCCAGCCTGGTCTGCATAGTGAGTTCCAGGCCAGTCAGGGCTACATAATGAGACCCTGTATCAACAAAAAAGGGGTAGGAGGATGGGTAACTGGAGAGATAATTCAGAGGTCAAGAGCCCTGGCTACTCTTCCAGAGGACTCAGGTTCAATTCTGAGCTTCAACATGGTCATTTGCAACCATCCATGACTCTAGTTCCAGGGGAGCCAGGAATCTAGTTTCTGCAGGTGCCAGGCACACGCATGATGCACTTACACACGTTCAGGCGGAACACCCACACACATAATACAATAAAAATTGAAATTCCTTCTGTGAACAGTCTCAGCGTATGGCATCTTAGGAGTGTGAATGTGAGTGAGTAGATGATCGTGGAGGTATGGACTGAGTGTGACTTATGTAGATGTGTGCCTTTGAGTATCCTGGTGAATGTGCGTGCGTGCTTGTGTGTGAGCGAGCAAGCGAATGTGCAAGCCACGCATGGCTCCTCCTGTCCCACTTGGTCTCTGGGAAAGCCTAACGTTGAGATGTAGAGAGAAGGCGGCTGGGAGCCCAGAACTCAGACACAGCTAAGGCATGCAGGCATCTGCAGCTGTCAGTCACCATTTTATCTTTGGCATTTCCAAACTCACGTTTAGCCAGTGTCCCCTCAGTGTCCTGCCCACTGAGTGCTCCCTCTGCCTGGGTGTGCCACCTCTCTAAGCCTGTAGCCCTTTCCCCAAGCTATGCCTTCTCCATGGAGTGTCTACTCTGCTTGCTGCAAGGGCTGCCAAGATCTAGCTACTGGGGCATGGAAGGAACGGGTCCAGGAGGGCTTTCTGTAGCTCCCTCAGTGGTAGCCTCTCCCTACTCTAAGCTCCTTCCTCTTCTATTCTGTTTTTTTCCCCTGCTGCTAATTCTTATTCTAAAGTATGTCTCACCCATCAGAGCATCTGGGATCTCTGATGGCCACTCCATTTCTCCTTTCCCTTCACGTTCCCAGGTCCCGGCACATGCCTGGCATGATGTAGGACCAGGGGTCCTTTGCTGAATGAAGCTGCAGAACTTCCTGTCCCCAAAGGTGGCAGGCAGCTCTTCTCAAACCCAGGACAGAGTCCCCTGCCTCCTGCTCTGCAGCTGCAGTCCCAAGCCTCCAGACCCTAGCTGAACATACCTGGGAAACTGAGAAGGAGCAGAGCTGGGGCCAGCCACATGGTCCTGCCTCCCTGCTCCACACCCTTGACGGACAGCCAGCAGCAAATCCAAATCCCAGCTGACCCCTTCTGCTTGTCCAGGTTGCCTGTGGGCGTCTTCCTCGCCAGCTTCCTTTTATAGAGTGGGTATTTCCTGCCGTCCATTACTCAGCACAAGACGCATCAGCTCTCTGCAGAGCTGGTCACTCAGGAGAAATGAGGAGGCTAGGGAACTGTGCCGGCGAGCAGAGGCAAAGGCGGCAAGCCTCTAGACCAGTGGTGGGGATGGCCAGACTGTCTGGCCTTGGGTTAAGGGGTAGAGCACTCTGGGTATTAGGCCCAGAAGTGATCTAGGCTATAATGATGGGCCCTGGCAGTCGGGTTCCCAGCTCGTGTGCTAGCAGGCTGTGCTCAGCACACCTGGCATTGAATATTGAATGCCCAGGTGATGGTGCTGTTTGAGTAGGTTTAGGATGTGTTGTCTTGCTGGAGGAAGTGTCTCACTTTGAGGTTTCAGAGCCTCCTGCTCTTCCCAATACACTCTCTGCGTCCTATTTGTGGTCCAAGATATGATCTCTCAGCTGTTCCGTGTCCGCTGCCTGCTGTCACGATTGCCTCCCACGATGGACTCCGACCCCTTTGGAATCAGAATCCCAAATAAATCCTCCTCTATAATTTGCCTTGGTCTGATGTTTTACCACAGCAATAGAACACTAACTAATACATAAAAAAAGACAAAAGAATTGGAATTAAAACAAATTTTGTTATAACTGAAATGCCTACATATAAAAATGAAAAGAAATTTCTAAGATTTTAGAGAAGTTGTCATATACATGAACAAAATATCACTTAATAATTTTTCTTTTTTGTGTATGGTACTGGTAATCTAAACATGGTTTTCACATGGTAGGCAAGCATGCTACCATTGAGCCATGTCTCCAGTCTAAAGACACCATTTAAAATAAAAATTAGGGGTTGGAGAGACGATTCAGTTATTAAGAGCATTTCCCAGTCTTTCAGAACACTCAAGTTCTATTTCCAGCACCCACATCAGGGGCATACAAACGCCTGCAACTCTAGGGATATCTGACACTCTAATCTCACAAGATACAAAACTCAAAATAACGAAAATGCAATAATTAAATAAATATAAGGAGCAAGAGAGGTGGTTTATTAAGTAAGAGCTACTTCTGACCTTCATGGATAACTGCACTCAAATGCACATAAACACACAATATGTAATTACATATGTACACATATATGTAATTATATGTGATTGTACATACATATGTGTAACTAAAAATTTAAAAATAGGGACTTGAGAGACAGCTTAGTGATTGAGTACATACTGTTCTTTCAAAGGACCCAAGTTTGGTTCCCAACACCTACAACGTGTGACTCCCAACCACCTGTAACTCCAGCTCCAGGGGAATCCATCGTCTTCGTCTGTTGTCCATGGGCACTTCACTTACATGTGAATGTGTGTGTGCCACACACAAATAGTTAAAATAAAATCCTTTTAAAAATCTTGAAATAAAAATGCAAGTTATTCAAAATCAAATATAACAAACATATGAACAGGTTTCAAAAAAGAAATAGTTTATTAAGACATTTTATTATTTATTTCAAATTTTGTTTCTTGTATATCTGTGTGTTTGATGTGTTTGTGAGCATGGATGTGCAACACAGTTTGCATGTAGAAGTCAAAGGACAACATCTGGGAGTTGGTTCTCTCCTCCACCATAATTCTGGGCATTGAACCCAGGTGGCCAGGTTTTCACAGTGAAGCTGATCCATCTCACCAACCCTTAAAAAGGTATTTTCCAAGTTCCCAAATAATTGAGGTTACAGTCCAGGTCCATAGCTAGGAACGTTATCCAAAAGGTGCATTTGATGCACTGTGCTGGCTATATTTTATGTCAACTTGACCCAAGCTAGAGTCATCTGAAAGGAGGGAGCCTCAACTGAGAAACGCCTCCATGCCAGGCAAGATGGTGCACACCTTTATTGCCAGGACTAGGGAGGCAGAGGCAGGTGGATCTCTGTGAGTCCCAGGACGCCACTAGGTTGATATAGAGAGAATAAGTCAAGAGACCATCTTGTGTTCTGTTTCATGACAAATGCAGGATTGGGGAGGGAAGAGGAGGAGGAGGGAAGAAGGGAGAAGAAAAGGAAAGAGAGGCTCTACTGTGTTTATCCACAGAAGGAAAGCTGTGTGATTTTGTGCTGATGTAGCCAGCCAGAGAGCAATACAAACAAGATGCACGTTACAGCATCAACAGATCAGTGTGCACGAACCTCAGAGGCACAACATCTAATGAGAACACCAAAGGCTTAGAAACAAAGCATGCGTACTGAGCATGGCACGTGCCTATATCTCAGAACTAGGGAGGCTGAGGCTGGAGAATGCGGGGGTGGAAACTAGCTTGGGCTACACCGTGAGACTCTGCTAATGAAAGAAAAGGAAGATGGAAAGAAAGAAGGAAAAGGGGAGAGAAATACAGAGACAGACACACAAGCACACAGACAGACACACAGACACACCCACAAATAGACACAGACTGATAGATACACTGGCAGACAAACACATGGACAGACAGACAGACAGACAGGCAGACAGACAGATAAAGGAAGGGGACTGGGGTGCATCTGATTCCCAGCAACCACATGGTGGCTCACAACCATCCATAATGAGATCTAGTGCCCTCTTCTGGCCTGCAGGCATAACACTATATATATAATAAATAAATGATTGAAATCTTAAAAAAAGTATAACTCTGTCCATATAACAATCAGAAATAAAGATGCTAAACAAAATATGCTTGGCCAATCCAAGTGCATGTATGTGACAAAACTTAAGGCCAGCAGATAAAATAATACCAAGCTGAGGTTGTCACCACAGGGGATAGAAAGCAGGAATGTGAAATCAGAGAGGGAGATCACCAGTATGGACCATGTTCTACGACTGAATCTGGAGAAGGGCACAGTGCCAAGTGTATTTCCATGTAAGGTGTGTGTATTTATTGATCACATTGTCAAACTGCCCTCTAAACATCTATGTCTGTACCTTTTGGTTAGTGTTGTTCCCAGGCTTGGTTGGAGAAGCATCTCTCTGCTGTCATCTAAGTGCTGAGAAAAAGTAACTATTGAGTGCTCAGCCCTAAAAGGGACATCTATGTCAAACCCCCACCCTACCCCAAGGCACCCCCATCCTACCCCAAGGCACTCTTACCTTATCCCAATGCACCCCCACCCTATCCCAAGCATCTCCATCCTACTCCAAGGTTTGGTGTGGGAGGTCCTTCTGTCTATGTGTTGCTTTTATTGGTCAATGAATAAAGAAACTGGTTTGGCCTATAGCATGGTAGAGGGAAGACAGAGTCAGGGGGAAGCCATGCATCCGCCACCGGAGGCAGAAGCTGGAAACTTTAACTGGTAAGCCACAGCCATGTGGCAATATACAGATTAATAGATATGGGTTAAGTTAATATTTAAGAGTTAGTCAATAAGAAGCTAGAGCTAATGGGCCAAGCAGTGATTTAATTAATATAGTTTCTGTGTGCTTATTTTGGTTCTGGGCAGCATGGACGAACAAGCAGCCTCCTCCTACAAAGGCTCAGGAACATTATGTAAGGAAGAGGGAGAGGAGAGAATTGGAAGCCAGAGGGGAGAGGGAGAGGCTATGAGATGCTGTGTTCCGGCTGTGCCATGGCCACTGCACTCACGACACTGCCACACTGCAGCTGTAGTCACCTGCACAGCACCAGGTCAGCAAGGTCAGTGAGCATCCCAGCAGGCGGCACTGACTGGACTCGGTGGTTATGTAAAGAAGAAGAAGAATGGAAATGGGAGGACGAACCATGAAGTGGGAGGGAACACCTGCCTGAGGGAGTGGGAGGGTGGGGTTGGAGGTGGATATGATAGAGTTGGGGTGTACATGTGTGAACTTATCTAAGAATAGATAAAGATACTCTATTAAAATGTAAATGTATTTATTGGGCACATTTTTGTATGTGTTTGACACAACACAAAGAATCTTCTAAGACATCTCAGAGTATTCTCAGAAGCACAGATTGTCCTCTGCCACCAGAGGAGCTGTGTGCAGTGACATGGACAGGGCTTCGTTGTCAACAGATGTCACTGATTCTCATAATTGGGGCGATGCTGCTTCTCCCCAGAGCACCTCTGAGGCCTGTGCACCCAGAGGACCGCACTGAGCATGCTCAGGAGCAGGGGCAGCTCCAGAAAGACCAGGAGCAGGAAGTGGATGCTGCTCAGCAGGGACCTGTGGGGGACAAGGTCACAATAAATTGCCTTCCCAGAATGCAGCGCAGGTGCCCTTTACTGCACCTTTCTCTCACCCAGGTGTGTGTCCACTTGCTCTTTTCAGGGACAAGGACAAGGCAGCCCTGCCTGATTGACCAGGGTGACGGAGAGCCCAAGTAGGAGCCTGGCCCATTCTCTCAGTTCAAGCCCATGGAACTCTACTCCTACAGCCTCTGTCCAGACAGGCAGTGCAGCCCCCACCCACACCTGTAGTGATATTTCATTTGCATTATAACAAATAAAGTTTGTATGGAGATCAGAGAGTAAAATAGCCCCACTGGTCAGTCTTACAGACCAGGCAGTGGTGACACACACCTTTAATCCCAGTAGCCACACTAGTTTGCCATAGAAACTGGGCAGTGGTGGTGCACACCCAGTGACTGTATTTATTTTCATTGGTTGAGTAATTAACTTAGTGGCCTGTGTGTGTGTTCATCTGTGTGTATGTTCACCTGTGTGTATGTTCATATGTGTGTGTGTTCATCTGTGTGTATGTTCATCTGTGTGTGTTCATCTGTGTGTGTGTTCATCTGTGTGTGTTCATCTGTGTGTGTGTTCATTTGTGTGTATGTTCATCTATGTGTGTATGTTCATCTGTGTGTGTTCATCTGTGTTTGTGTTCATCTGTGTGTGTTCATCTGTGTGTTTGTTCATCTGTGTGTGTTCATCTGTGTGTGTGTTCATCTCTGTGTATGTTCATCTGTGTGTATGTTCATCTGTGTGTATGCAGGTGCACATGTGTGTGCGTGAATGTGGAGGCTAACCTTGGAAGCCATTTCTCAAGAATCATCACCTTGTTATGTTTATTTTGAGACAGGTCTCACTGTGTAGCTCTGCCTAGAATGGAATTTGCTGTGTAGTCCAGGCCGGTCTTAAACTCACAGAGATTGTCTTGCCTTTGCCTCCCAAGTGCAAGGATTAATGGTAGGAGCCACCGTAGCTGGTTCATCTCGTTTTCTGACAGGATCTCTCAGTGGCCTGGAGCTTGCCAAGTAGGCTAAGCTGGGTGACCAGAGAATCTCAGGCATCCTCCTGTCTCCACCTCCAGAGCTCAGGTATTTCAAGAGTATACCACCATACCTGACATGTGTGTGCTGTGGCTTGAACTCAGATCCTTGTGTTTGCAAGACGAGCACTTTACCAGCTGAGCCGTCTCCCCAGGCTCTGGATGTATTTGTGTAGTAACCTCTGGACAGGAAACTAACTCTGTCTCAGCAGGTCTGTGTCTGGGGGTCCTTGCTGTGCTCCAATGTTTAGATGAGCAACCAGCACTCACAAGACACCCCATCCCAGGTCAGTGTGGGATTAGGAGATGCAGGAGATGCCCAAGGAAGGGATGCAGATCTTCTCCCTCCACCCTCTCAGCATTACCGCCCCCCCCATGATCTAGAGGCCTCAGGGATATGGGTTCCTCACCGAGGTTGTAGACTGGGACCAGGAGTTGTGTCCTCTGTGGTCACGCTGGGCTGAGTGTGCACTGGTGAGGATGTGGGAGACCCCAGGGTGTTTGTTCTGTCCTCAGGGGCAGAGCCTGTGATAGGAGTGAAAAACAGAAACACAGGACAGTCTCAGTCACCGCCACTCCATCTCCTACCCACTGACACCTCTGCAGCTCTGCTTCACACAGGACCCTAGGGACATGGTTGGCAGCTGTCCCATAGCTTGTAGGCTGATGACCACACCAAGGCCTGGCCAGGGCCTCCCTTCCCATGGTGCATTGTGACTGGTTGGCACCTTCACACTTGAGGCCAGCCTTCCTACAGAGGAGAGTTTAAATGTCAGTGTCAAGACACGTGTTACCAGGTCCCAGCTGGCCTCAGTCCCACCTTTGCCTCCTTGTCCCTTGTGGGGACAGACACAGAGGGGTGGAGCCCTGTCTGCCTGGCTGACTCATTCCCACACTGTCAGCCAGACAGCCTACTGGGCAGTCATTTCAGAGGCATGTCCAGATGGAAAGTTCTAGAAAGGCTTGAAGGACCCTGTGGAGAGTGGCCTCTACTGAGGAGAACTTGTGACTTTAGTAGATTTGTTCCACACTCCTCAGTATGAGCCCTCAGAGGATGCTGGAGGGAAGTTTATGTGAGGGGGAAATCCGCACTGAGAACCAGAACAGGAAGCTGGGTGTGGGGATGCCAGTGCGGGAGAGGCAGAGCCAGGAAGATCAGTCATTCAAGACGAATCCCAACTACACTGGGTTTGTGGCCAACCTGGGCTACACAAGACCTTCTTTCAGAAAAGAAAATAAAAACTGACAGAGAATTTCAGCCCTTCAGCCCCTGCCACCACCCTGCTCATATAAAAGAGATGTATTAATTGGGGTTCTATGACCAAGGAAACCTCCATAAGGGGAAAATGGGATACAGGCACAGAGAACATTGGGACCAAAGTAGCTGAGCCCCCCTTGACCTCTGCCTGGGTAGGGCCACTTTTCGGAGATTCTCTGAGTTTCTTCCTGCAGGAAATGGTTCCTGGCAAAGGGGAACATAGGGAAACTTGGAGGGGTTGAATGGATTCCTCAGGGATCAAGAACCCCGGTATACAATCTAGGTTCCTTTTGTGTCTCCGGTTCCTCTCAGAAGCCCAGAACCACTTTGATGAAGTTGGTCCCTCAGACCCTTCATGGAAGGGAAATGTCCACTCAGTCCCAGGCCAGAGCAGCCCTTGATGGAGGGGAGCAGATGTGCTGGGGTTCTGTTCCCACATGGAGATGGGGACCAGACCAAACGAGGCCTGGGAGAGAGGACTTGCCTCCTATCGGGACAGGAAGTCACAAAGAACCAGGCATTCAGGGCCTGTCTCTAGAAAGCTTCAGGCTTGAGACTGTCACATGGGACACAGAGAATCTCCAACAGGGACTGATGAAACATCTCAGTGGGTAAAGACTCATATTTGCCAAGCCTGATGAGCTGAGTTTGAGCCCCTGGACCCACACTGTGGAAAACAAAACTAAGTCCAAGAAATTCTCCTCTGACTGACACACACCATGGACAAGTCTGGTGAGTAAGAAAATAAGTAAATAAATAAATTTACTGAAGAGAGTTTCTAAGAACTCAGGTTCCCCATAGTGCCAGTGTGTGCATGCACACGCATGTACTGGAGTACATACACTATCACACACCCCACCCATGCTCTCACTGTGGCACGAGTGGACTCACACTCCCTGTGTCTGAGTCACTGATTCACCAAGCTCACCATGGTACTGTTTCTGGATTCCTTCTTTCATGAGGGAATGACAGACCTGGACACAGGATGCCAGGACATGAACTGGGCTTACCTGGTACTACGAACACCTCAACCTTGAAGAAGTCATGAATCCCCAAGGAGGAATCAATCTTCCATGAGGAGCCATTGATAAGCGGTACATCCACTCCACACTTGTAGGTGCCTGCATCCTCCCAGGTGAGGTTCTCCATGGTCACTGTGAAGGTGAGGGTGGCTGGATGATCCCTGATGGACACTCGGCCATTCCTAGCTTCTTTTCCAGGTCTGGTCTTGACAATTTGTTTACACAATAGCAGCAGCGAGTGTCTGCACCAGTATTTGTCGTTGCTCTTGTATTTCTCCTCATACTGACACTGCACACTCAGGGATTCCCCCACAGCGCCTGTCACGGTGCTGGGGCCATTCATAGGGACACAGCCTGGAAAACACAAACACCAATATGGTGGTCAGGCCTCCCTTGGTGTGGTCTTAGAGAGCTGTCTGGTCTGGAGGAAGCAGCGAGAAGGGAGACAGGCTCTGTCAGACCCAGGAGTAAGGGCTGAGGTGAGCACCTATACTGTCCAGAGAAAAGAAGGACCCTGGAGGAAACAACACTGTGTGTGTGTGTGTGTGTGTGTGTGTGTGTGTATGTGTGTGTGTGTGTGTGTGATAGAGAGAAAGAAACAGAGACAGAGAGAGAGAGACAGAGACAGAGACAGACAGAGAGAGACAGAGAGAGGGAGAGGGAGAGGGAGAGGGAGAGAGACTTTACCTGTGTACCTATATGTGTATATATCTCTGTGGGTGGCAGATGTGCCTTAGTGGGATTGAGTGCTTGTGTGTGTTTGGTATGTACACATATGTACACAGATACATGTGTGTACACAGTAGAGATTGGTGGTTTTTTTGGCATTGATTTTGCAGTTAACCCTTTCAGCAGGTCCTGACTGTCTCAGGTGTGGCTGACATCACTGTCCGGAAGCCTGACTGCACCTCTGAGACCATGCTGCCCAGTCCTGCCCACCCCCACTCTCTCGCATTCTCTCCAAGCCCCATCTTCCTCTGCTGGCTGCTCTCGCTCACCTCCCATCCCCCCTGTCACGCCCTCTCACTTACACCAGGAATTCCCCTTTCAAAGCTGAAAGCCCCACCCTGTCCTGTGCTCACCTGGGACCTGCAGGAGGAGCAGAGTTGAAGGCAGCCACACTCCCAACACTCTCGGGGTCATTTCTTCAGCTCAGATGTCACCTGCACCCACACCAAGCCCAAGAGAGGAGAAGGGACGCCTCCTTCTAGAACGTACAATGCACATGTGCCTAGTTCTCCTTCCTGTCCTCTGCTTCCTGGTCCTGTGTGAGGCCCCCCAGATGAACCAGTACAGGAAGTGCTCTGAAGATGCTCCAGGTTCAGCGGTGCTGGTTCCTATCGCTCCCAGTGAGGGGCACATCCATGGTCACCTGAGGATGTCACCTGCCCCCTAGCCCTCAGCTAAGGGCTTCTTAACCTCCCCACTCCTGGAGAGCATTTCCTTTTTTGTTCAGGCTGTTCAACCTCTGTGACACGTCACTTCCTGACTGGACTTGTGAACTGTCCATCATCTTTTGCTCCATCTCTGTGAGCACGGAGGAACCATCTCCTTCCAATAGTCAGATTAGCCGTCCACAGCATGCTCTCAGTCCAGGGGTCTCTGGCTCCATTTCTGGCTTCACATAGCTGGTCAAGCTTACACTGTGATCCTGATTCCTTAATTAGAGTTCACCTTGATGCTAAGTCCCCCCCCCCCCACACACACAAAGGGTACAGACCTGAAGGTCACAACTCTTGCTCCCCGTACATCTTATTCTGATTGGCTGTTGTTGGTTTGTTTGCATCAGCATCTCTAGCTCAGGTTGGCCCCATACAGCTAAGGATGACCTTGAATTGATCCTCCTGCTTCCACCTCCTGAATCTGGGTATTGTAGGTGTGTGCCACCACACCCCATCCACGCTGTGCTCAGGACTGAGCTCAGGGCTGCATGCATGCTAGGCAAGCACTCTACCAACTGAACTATGTCTCAGACCTTGTTCATTTGAGACAGTATCTCACATTGAAGCCCAGGTTGGACTGCAATGTCCTATTTAGCTCAAGCTGAACTTGACCTCACAGAAGTCCTCCTCCCTTGAGTCTACCTAATTGATGACTCTGTCTTCTGATGTCTCCTGGTCCCATATCTAGACTTGGACCTGTTGTCATTATTTTGGGTATATGCTGGGTGTTGGGAGGAGGATGAATAACAACCTCAGGTCTCTCCTTTCTGATACCTCTATTCCCAATTTTGGAGATACACCTCCCTCTCATGCTGGAGGAGAAGGCAAGAGAATGTTTCCTTGAGCCCGGTGATGTACCTAACCTTAGAGGCATCTGCACCTCTCTGATATGTGTCAGTGTCTGGAGACTGTGGTGACATTTGTGGGGACATTGGCACTTGCTGTGCCATGACTCACGGCTCTCCTCTGGACATCCACACTTACTCCACTCATCTCTAATCCCTATTAGCAGATAACGCAGGGATCTCTCGTTGTATCACTTTCTCCATTTCTTGCCTCTCACTCACACATCTTCAGGATGTCTGTCTGCATTTTGTCTGTGTCCATTGTTTGTGCTCTACAGAATATTAGATTAACAAGAGCAAAGAAACCACTTTTTGTATTCATGTGGGGACATGAAGGCTATAGTCCCTGCTTGGTATCTGTGTTAGTCAGTATTCTATCGCTGTGAAGAGACAACCATGACCAAACAACTCATATTAGAGAAAGCATTTCATTGGAGGCTTGCTTGCAGTTTGAGCGACTTAGTCCATTTCCACCATGGGTGGGGAGCACAGCGGTAGATGTGGTAGGCAAGGTCCTGGAGGCATAGCTGAGAGCTACATCCTGATTTTCAGGAAGAGAAAGAGAGAGTGAGTGAGAGATAGATAGATAGATAGATAGATAGACAGAGAGAGAGAGAGAGAGAGAGAGAGAGAGCTCTTGGCTGAGCAGTAGCTAATGGAGATCAGGGATTGTGTTCTGATTCAGCTCTGTCCTATAGGAGACCTCTGAACTCTGGGGTCTCCTCAGCACAGGACTTGATTCATAACACAGCATATGACTCATAACTGAGCTTAGCAAACACATCAGTCCTTACACTCTAGCCCAGACCTGAGGAATGTGGTAAGGGGGATCACATTCCAGGTGGTGTAAGTGTAGACTGCTCGTTCGTTTTCCTCCCACCCAGACCCAAGTAATCACACAGAAACTATATTAATCACAACACTGTTGGCCAATAGCTTATGTATGTTCTTAGCTAGCTCTTATATTAACCTACTTCTATTAATCTATGTATCACCATGAGTCCGTGTTCTACCAGTAAGGTTCTGGTGTCTGTCTCTTTCAGCAGTTACATGGTGTCTTCTTGACTCTGCCTACTCTCTCTATCTCTGTTAGGATGTCCTGCCTGGCTTTACTTTGCAAAGCCATTGGCCAAAACAGCTTTATTTATCAAACAATAAAAGCAACACAAATACAGAAAGATATCCCACATCATGTACACTGAGTGCCTATTTGTAGTGGTACCAAATCATTCCACAACAGCTCAGAAGGGAATATAACAAAGATTTATTTATTAGGGGAGAAGCTCACAGTAAGAGTATCAGTCCACTGTCCTCTTCATGTGCTGGGAACCAGGACCAAATACAGCAGAAAAAAAGGGCTGTGTATGCTTTTTCTCTGTACTTATAGTACGCGAGATCACACCCAAGGTGGGCCAGTATCTTAAAGGCTATTCACTGAAGAAGTTACCACAAGGTGGAGTCACAGAACATCCTCTAAATGGCAAGTCAATGTATACAACACAACACAATGCTACATTCCCTTCATGCTGAAGACTTGAGTGAGGACAAAGGACTCAGAAATATTGGGGATGGTCCATGGCTGAGCTGTTAGGTGTCCCTCACCCTGATCTCGAATCACCCTGCAAGGAGCTGTATTGGTTAGATAAGCTTTGGACAGTTAAGAAACACACACACAACACACACATCATTGAGAGCTATATAGGAATTTATAAATAGTGTTGTGACATGAAGCTCTACATAGGACCTGGATTCCTTTCTGTGCCCTCTTATGGCTACTTAGAAGCCCCAAGACCTCTTCAAGGAGTCTGATGTGTCAGGGACTCCGTGGGCCTAGGGGATGGCTCAGGATGTAAAGTGCTGGCAGTGTGAGCAGGGCGACTAGAGTTTAGACTCATCAAGATAGGATTCATAATGGAATATTTTATTAGAATTTGCCAAATACAAGTGGCGTGGATATTGTGAATGTAATTCTTATTTGATAACTGTTCTAATATGTTGTATGTTGTCTTTCTATGTTAAAATTAAATCCTTTCTTTTTATGTAGACAAAAGGGGGAAATGTTGTAGGATATCATTTTCACTATGTAAAGATGTGTTACATTTGTTTATGCAGTGGAATATTACTTTAACTGCATAAAAATGTATTATATTGGTTTCTGCTGCATTTGTTTAATTATGTAAAATGTGTTGCTATTTCACCTTGCCTACCTAAGGCAACTGGTTGGTCTAATAAAGGTCTCAATGGCTGAATAGCTAGGCAGAGAATAGATAGGCAGGACTGGTGGACAGAGAATATATAGGAGGAAAAAAATCTAGGCTTGAGAGAAGAGAAGAGAAGTACTAAAACGAGGAGAAAATGAGGTAAAAAGAGAGGAAGACTCCTGGGGTAAGCTGGACAGACACTGAGACAGCAGGAAAGTAAGATATACACAAAGAATTAAAGGTAAAACTCCTATGTCAAAATGTAGATGGGGAGAAATGGGTTAATTTAAGTTATAGAAAAAAACTGTCCAGAAATTAAAAAAAAAGCTAAGGCCGAACATTCAAAATGAATAAGAAGTTTCCATGTCATGATTTGGGATCTGGTTGGTGACATAATAAAAAAGCCTGGTACATATGTTTTTTGGGTGGGGTGTGTGGCTATGTGAGAGTGTGTATTTGTATGTGTGCATGCAATGAAAGCATTATTCATGTTGTATTGTTACAATCATGACCATCACAGTCACTACTACTAAAGCTCCCTGATCTGTCTCAGAAAGAGGACCATTGGCAAGGTATGTGTGTGGTATAAACTTCTGTGCAAACAGTGTTGTACAAATATACATCTGATGAGTATAGCATATATACATCATGTGTGTAGCATGTGTTGCTTTGTGAGGCATGGTATACACACATATGATATGTGTGGTATATATTTATCACATGTAGTATGCGCATTGCGCACTACATGTATTATTGTAAGTATGCTGTGTGTTGCATACATGTGTGTGGCATGTGTAGCACACATGAGAAATGTTCACATGTGTATGGTATGACATACACATTACAATGTGTGTGTGTGTGTGTGTGTGTGTGTGTGATAAGCCATGTTCCTTCTTTATCCTGAAGAGAAGGTTACAATGGCAATGGTGGCTATGCCTTGGGTAGCTAGACCTTTCCTGTGTAGCCATAGTCCAGAGATTGGCCAGGCTACTTGGGTGAACTCTGAGAATGTGGGTCCCAGGAGCTGGCCCTGTCTCTGGGAGCCTTGCTCTCCTGATAGAGTGCGAGAGTGAGGGTTGTTCCATGTGTCTCTCTTAGAAGTTAAAGGGAGAGTTGGAGAGGAGTCAGAACTGCTAATGGTCCCCGAAATGGGTCCCCAATCCAAACTCCTGTGGACACAGGCTGGGTTCATCAGCAAAACCACCCACTCTAGACTGAGTGACCACACACATTTAATTCTTGTTCTTGGAAAAATTGAGTCAGCTAATCCTACCCCCAGCCCAGTATGAAGATGCCTCGAGTTCACTCCAGGTGGCAGGAAGCCACATGGTGGCCCTTACAGTCTCAACTCTGAGGGTGCCTGTGTCATACAACTCACAACATCATGAGGGGATGGGGAGATACACCCTTCTCTGCAGTAACAGTGGGGGATAGCCGCTCTGTGATTGAGTCCTGGGAATCCAGTGACCTTGAGTAACCTTGGGAAGATAGCTATGTTCTATGAGTCCTGGGGATCCAGTGACCCCACGTGACCTAGGGGACCTCAATCACAGAAGGAAGGTTAGACTGAACTCAAGTACATTTATGGACAAGGATTAGGGTCATTTGCCATGGGAGGTAAGCATTACAGCCATCATGCTGACTCTTGGAGTATGTATGCCTCACAGATGGATTGGGGGCATTGGACCACAAGAGCAGGATGGTAAGTGGTGAGGCAGGTGACAGATTCCACAGGAGGTCCACGGGACTTTGTCCAAGTTAATACAGTCACAGCCATCAACATTATGGGTCTTTCTCTTACTTCTTTAGAGTTCCTGATATTCTTCCAAAAAGATAGCTTTGTTTTTATTTGTAACAGACATTCAGTTTTTTGTTCTAAACTAAATTAATTAAATCTTAATAGAATCTCTCCATATCCTAGGCTGGTTTCCAATCCTTTATCCTCCTGTCTCAGCCTCCCAAGTGCTGGAGTTATAGGTGTATGCCACTACGTATGGATATTATTTTTATTTTTTGGTTCTCTCAGACAAGTTCTTACTATGTAACTAAGTTAGATTGAAACACTCTGTAGGTCAGGCTGACCTTGAACTCGTGGCTATCCTCCTGTCTCAACCTTCTGAATGTGGCATGAGATACATATGTTACCATGTTTGGCTGGCTTGTTTGTGTTACAAGAAATAATTTCTGGGGCTGGGAAGACAGGTCCATGATGTGTTTTGTATATGTGTTGCTTTTATTGGTTAATAAATAAAGAAGCTGCTTGGGCCTGTGACAGGGCAGAATAGAGTGAAGCGGGAAAGTGAAACTGAATGCTGGGAGAGAGAAGGCAGTGTCAAAGAGTCGCCATGTAGCCGCCAGAGGAGAAAGACACAAACCACTAGTTGTAATCTTGTTGATAAACCGCAAGCCTCGTGGTAAAACACAAAAAATAGAAATGGGTTAATTTAAGATGTAGAGCTAGCTAGAAATATGCTTGTGCTATTGGCCAAACAGAATCACAATTAATATAGCTTCTTTGTGATTATTTAAGTGCTGTGTAGCTGGAAAACAAATGAGCAGCCTCCACCTACAGGTCTGACAGTAACATGCTTGCAAGTATGAGGATCTGAGTTCAAGACCTGCAGAACATGGTTACACATCTCAAGACATGGTGGTACACGATTATAATCCCAGTGCTGAGGAGGCAGAGACAGAAACATCCCTGGGGCTCACTGGCCAGCCACCCTATCCAATCAGCCACGAGAGACCCTAAGTCTCAGAAAAAAAAAACCCTAACCCTCACACTAATCCCCTAACCCTAATTCTAACCCTGGCTCTCTACACTCAGGTTCACTCATGCACACACTCATGTACACTTACACACACACCCAAACATGTACCCACATACACCCACATGTGCAATCATATATGTGTGTGCATATGCCCTCCAACACATATGAACCCTCACACACACACACACACACACATCATTTCTGCTCTCCAGAACCCTTCTTCACCACGGCCATAGCATTTATACAAGCACATTGCCTTGAAGTATTTATAAATGGTATTGAGTGGAAAGTACCGGTCAGAGGAGGAATCTTTTGTACGGAGTGCAGAAACAAGGAAATTAACCTTTAGAAAGCAGTAAATCAGCAAATTTGTGTGAAAGAGCTGGTTTGGACAAGAAGATGGAGCCATGGAGATTTGGCAAAACAAAGAAGAATGGCAGAAAGAAAAGTTGTTTTGCTTCCTCCTCCTCCTCCTCCTCCTCCTCCTCCTCCTCCTCCTCTTTCTTCCCACTCATCTTCTGTGTCATCTTTGTGTTCTTCTTGAGACAGGGTCTAGCTATGTATGCCTGGCTGACCTGAAACCAGCTGTAGAAACCAGCTGTATGAAACCAGGCCCATGAGAAATTATGTCTCAGACATCAGTGGAATGACTCCAGACTTTGTTCCCTAAATACACATATGCATACATGCGTGTGCGCGCACACACATATTCTCTCTCTCTCTCTCTCTCACACACACACACACACCAAAGAGAGAGAGATTATTTTCCTTCTTCATGGAAGGTTTCCCCTCTGTTCGCGGCATCAGAACTCTGGACCTTCCCCAGGCCGACTTCACCTCCCCTAGAGCACCTCTGAGGTCTGTTCACCCAGAGGACAGCACTGAGCATGCTCAGGACCAGGGGTAACTCCAGAAAGACCAGGATCTTGAAGTAGATGCTGCTTAGCAGGGACCTGTGGAATCGAAGTAGACAGAAAGTAAAAAGTCACCTGGCACAGAGGGCTCAGTCTTCCTTGTGTCCATATCTCATTTTTCAATGGCCAGATAAGGACAAGCCTGGGGCGCTACTAGGATGGGCTCCCTGCAAAGGCATGGCTGCTCATGCTGCCTGCAGGCTAACCTTCTGCGCTGGGTGCTTTGCCTGGTTTCCATCAAGTCCAATTGACCACTGTCCTCTCTGATTGGCTGTTCTCCCAGAAGTCCTCCTCATCTAGTCTTCATTCCAGCCAGGCTGAGGGCTTCCCTGCTCCCTGACTTTTTACTTTTGGCCCAGCCGGAGGCCATCCTCAGGTCATGGAAAGTATCTACAACTGCAGGTCCTCCGTGAGTCACAGGTTAGCACAAACGTATTCCTGGAAGATAGAAAAGCTGCCCTTGGCACACTGTGCATCAAATGTCCTGACCTGTTTCCCAGGACAGCGCTCTGTGCACGCTCCACACTCTCGTGGACTCTACATTTCTGGAGCCTTGCACCCACTGTCTCTCCTTGACTGACTGCTACAAGACCACAGTACTCTACAGTGAAAGCACAGCAGACAGATCTCTAGAATAAACTCACAGGAGTACAATCCAGTGAGGGACCCCATCTGCAGAGCTTCGGGAACGCCTGTCTTTTGAATAGCCACTGCCATTTCTGTAAAATCCTTGTTTAGCCATAGCGTTCCCCTTTCCATAGTGGGCTTCATCCTGAAATATCCCAGCAGTGTGTGATGAACACAACCTCCTTCTGTACTGGTGACTGGACGGCCTTCCCCAGCAGCATACATAGCTTTCCTCCCCTGATGCGGTTGCCATGGTTACCACAGTGCTGTGTCCCTCCCAGCCTCTGAGGTAGGAAGAAGAAGTGTTCAGAAAGTTCAATACACTGCTGCCTTTTTCTTGCCTCTTTTTCTCCACTTTTCACAAACTCCTAGCTTAACTAGTCACATGTAAGAAAGGGAGTTAGTACACAAAAGCCCCTTTTCTCTTCTTTGTATTCTGTACTGATTTAAAGCCCCATCCTCAATCCTCCTGTTATCTGCCAGGGATCTTCACAACCATGCATCCTCTGAGACAGTAGTGAGCTAACAGGCACCTGCGTTGTCAGATTTACCGGTTTTCGTGGCTCCGTGAAGCGCATGCTTGGTATCATTGTTGTTGCCTATGGAACTGCTGATTCTGTTTATGTATGCATAGAAACTGAAAGCCTGTGGCGAGTGGGGTTGCTTTTTTGGAAGAATAAAGAGACTTGAAGGGGAAACATGTTTGAGTGAATTTGTTCACCCTCAGAAACTTTTTAGCCAGTTTTTGCTCACTGTAAGCATCATGTTCTGAACACTGAGGGGGTGCTGAGCCTGGATCTCAGAGACCCCTGATAACTAACCCTCTATCTGCTAGCAAAAGAAACTACCAAAACACTTCCAAAGCACTGGGAGGGCAAGAAAATTTAAAGAGTAGTCCTATAAGGCAGAAATTCTTTGAGACATGTTTATCTAACTTATGATTTAGTAGACAGAACACAGGACCAGATAAGACCTGAGGGACAGTTCTCAGCAAGGGCCAGTGAGGTGACCTCTGTCTTTCCTTTAGGGGGAAGTTTAGGCTTGTGGTTTAGCTGTGTCATTGACCTGGGGACTTGACCCCAACAGGCTGGGATGCAATTATGCCGAGGTAGCTGTATGGTGCTGGGAGTTGCTCTGGGCAACTTCAAGAGTGACGAGCATCACACTGTCACAGCTCGGTCCTCAGTTTCCCACTCTCCTCCTCTGTGCTTCCTAGACCCCCACACCGGCTCTTGGCAGAGTTGCATTGGAACAATGGGATTTGTTTATGGGTTAGAGCCAGAAGGTGGTTAGAGAGGAATCTCTTCTAACTCAGAGGAGACCCACCTGTGGCCCTCTGTCCTGCTCTGGGGAACACATAGGGGAGACACCTAGCACCAGGCTGAGTTTCTTTTACCACTCAGATGAAGATGCTGCCTTCCTGTAGCTGAGGCTTAGAAGGGAAGTCTTGGTAGACTACTAGGTAAAAGGGTTGGGGAGCCACTCAGGCTTTATCATGAGAATATAGCAGCCTCATGTCTCTACAAGACAGTTACTGGGTTTAGCAAATTAAGTTACAAGATGGCCAGGCCAATTTGGTATTCAGATAGGTGACTTTTTCAAATGCACAGATAGCGCCATGTACTGCTCGGATTATACACAGACAGCGCCATGTACTGCTCGGATTATACACAGACAGTGCCATGTAATGCTCGGATTATACACAGACAGCACCATGTACTGGTTGGGATATACACAGGTAGTGCCATGTACTCCTTGGGATATACATAGAATTTCCTGAATCCTAGGAGTCCTGGTCCTCTTCTGTTTTCTCTGGAGGCCCTTCCAGGAGAGAGGCCACAGGGACAGCCAGTGGGAGAGCACTGCCAGACTGCTTACCAGGTGACGGTGCTGGTTTGATTCTCTCCATGGTTGCTCATGTTCTCCCAGGTTGATGGTGTGGTTGTCACAATGGGTACCACGACTGTTGTTATTTCAGTTGAAATTTCTGGGGCTAAAGATACAAACGGAACATGGTTCACTCCTCCTGAGGAGTCCAGCTCTGGGCATGGCCTAAAGCTTTTCCCACTAGGAATCGAGGAGGTTGCTCTGCAGTCACCACCCAAAGCTTTCCACTAATTCCGTCCTAAAGAGAGATGATGGACAGGCAGAGCTGCAGCTCTCCCTCAACACTCGCTTCCTTGGGGCTCACTCATCACTGTCTGGTGGGCAATACACAGAAAATTCCAGCTTTACATATTTTGTCTATTTTTTGGAAAAAAAATATGTATTTATATATCTACGGGTGTTTGCTTGTCAGTATCTATGTGCACCATGTGCATACGGTGACCATGGAGGCCACAGAGGCCATCAGATCCCCTGGCACTGGAGTTGAAGATGGTTCTAAGCTGCCATGTAGGTGCTGGGAACCAAACCCAGTCCTCTGGAAAAGCAGCCAATGCTCTTAAATCCTGCTCAATCTCTCCACAATCATTTTTTCTATTTTCTTGCTTGTAGTTGTGTAAACAGACATAAATCTGATCCTTATTACTCTATGTTGCCCAGAAATAGAGCTTCTGTGGCTTCTTCTCTTTTATCTTAACGGTATGGGGGCGTGGTGGGGCAAGAGGGGCAAGTCTCAGTTTGATTCAGTAATAGAATGCTTGGCTAGCAACACGAGGTTCTGAATTTGTTTCTCAGATCTGTGCAAGTGAGAATATGCAGGACACACATGGGGGCAGGAAGTCAAGGCCTCCCCACCTCACATTCTATCTCAGTAGAAGATAGTAACAAAAGAGTAAACTGTGTTTATCTTTTCCGTTAAGACATTTATAGTCATGAGTTCAGGGTTCCCGAATCCTCACCCTATCTAGGATGTTCTGGAATGTTTTCTTACCTGGGTCAATGTTCACATTAACTTTAAAATTCGGATCATGAAAAGCTTTTTCATTTGCACACCAGTAAACACCGCTGTCGCTTATCCTCAGCTCCTCCATGGTCACTGTGACGATGAAGTCTGTCTGGTCATCCTTGATGGACACACGGTCCTTCTTCACCAACTGCTCCATATCCGTTTTAACCAGAATCTCACATGTATTCCAATCAGCTCCTTGGCTCCAGTACTTCTAGTAATTCTTCCAGAAGGAGTCATAACGGCACTGCACAGTCAAGGAGCCCCGCTCATGACCATTTACCGTGTTTGGACCTGTGATTCCATCCTGAGCAGTGGAGAAGCCTAGAAAATACAAACCCATGGACCAATGATCTCCCACTCCAAGGGCAGGACACAGTGCCCTGAGTCAACAAAGAATTCATAGCTATCAGTGAAGAGCTACCCTATTCCCCAGCCTGGACATTGTCATTCTATTTGTCAAAGCCTCAAAAACTGGCTGATGAGTGTTACAGAATGTTATTTTCACTAGGCAAAGATGTGTTTCATTTGTGAATGCTGCAGAATGTTACTTGAATTGTATGAAGGTGGGTTACACTTGCTTCTGCTGTATTTGCTTAATGAGATCAGGATGTGTGTTCCATGATGTACAGATGTGTTCCCTTTGTTTCCCTTGCCAGCCTAAGGCACCTGATTGGTATAATAAAGAGCAGAATGGACAATACCAAGACAGAGAAGAGATAGGTGGAGCTGCAGGGAGGGAGAAGAAATAGGAGGAGAAATGTAGGGTCGGGAAGAAGAAAGCAAGAAGGAGGAGAGAACCAGGGACTTGACTGGGGAGTGAAGCCAGGCAGCCATCAGCCAGCCAGGCATATAGTCCGCAAGTAAGTGAGGAAAGGTAAAATTCTCAAGGAAAAGGTAGATAGAAAGGCAGGTTAATTTAAGTTAAAAGATTTATCCAGAAACGCGCAGAAGCTAAGACCAAACATTCAAAATACTAAGTGTGTGTGTGACGATTTGGGAAATGGTTGGTAGCCCCAAAGGGAAATCCTGATACAGATGGGTCCAGGTACAGGACTCAACAAATAAAATGGTGACCCTGAGCCATCATGGCTTCCTGCCATCCACCCCTCTTCATGTCCCAATGGCCAATCAAAGTCCATTTCATAGAACACGTTTGCAACCATCTTTGTGTTTCCCTGGGGCAGAGGAAGTATCAGAAGACCTTGTCCACAGGACATGATCCTGCCTTCATTTCAGTACCCATGACCCTCAGGAGGTCCATCTGAAGAACCACATCCTATGGCCATGCAGAGGCCACCTCGGGTAGTCCAGCAGTCTCTAGGGGTTCTGTAGGGAATCAACTTGGATGAATACCTTGAAAGTTGACCTAAATGACAACACATAGTCTGATTGATTTCCGTGTGGTAGAGAGCCCACAGCACACGGACCCTGTGCTGTCCTTCAGATCCATAAAAATCTGACCCCAAATCCTCTTAAGTTGGTTGCATGGATACTAAAGTGTGCTACAGAAATGCAATGAATAGTATTGTAGAAGGATTGGACTCCGTCATTTGCAGTCCATAGATGGAATCGGAGGAAGTGAAAGATTTCTGACACATTAAGAGGCTGCAACACGGTCTTATTTTATGAGGAAGCTAGAACATAATTCTCTGGGGCCAGGGGCATGGGGAGATGGACAGGTCAGCGAAGTGTTTGCTGCGTAAGCAGGAGACCTGAGTTTGGATCCCAGAACACATGGGAACATCCAGGTGATGTGAGATGTGTCTGTAGCCATGAGAGCTGTGGAGTCAGTGCAGGAGGATCCCTGGGATCACTGGCCATGTAGACTGAGTCAGTGAGCTCCAGGCTCAGAGGGAAACCCCGCCTCAACAGACAAGTTTGAGAGTGAGAAAGGTACCCAATGCTCAGCTCTGGTTTCCACATATACCTATATGTGTACCCACAAAATATACCTGAGCACACACATACACACATGCGTTCACCTCACAGACACATTTTTTTTTCAAAAGGAGCAAAATCTGACTTCAGAGAAGTAATGAACAGACTAGAGAACAGAGAAGACACCAAACGCTTCTAGTACAAAGAAATGACAAATGCGTGTGTGACAGGTCAGCCACCATGACCTCACTGCCACACACGTGCAAATGCCACATGGTACTGTAGTGATATCTTAGTTGTATTTTTATAAATAAACCTTGCCTGAAGGTCAGAAAAGCAAAACAGCCAGCCACTGGCTCTTACCTCTCTCTCAGTCCAAAACGGTGATCCTGCCTCCAGGAATCCTCAGAATGAGACTGTGTCTGAGAGCTGTCTCCTCCAGTCTTATATTCCTCTCTAGGGCTGGGATTAAGGGCGTGCACCACTACAGCCCAGTTTCTGTGACAAACTAGTGTGGTTACTGGGATTAAAGTTGTGTGTTACCACTGCTTGGTCTGAAAGGTTGACCAGTGGTGTTGTTTTATTCTCTGATCTTCAGGCAAGCTTTATTTATTAAAATACAGATGAAAGATTACTACATTGCATTTTATCAGTTTCTCTTTGCTTTTTGAGACAGGTCTCCCTATGTAGACCAGACTGTCCTTGAACTCACTGTGATGTCTTAAAGCCCCAGCTACTTTCCTGGGAGGAAGAGGAGCAGAGCAGGGAGCAGCCACATGATCCTGTCTTCTCTCCTGTCCTTTGTGGTGACAGAAGCTAGCGCCTTGCATAAACTTGAAGCTCAGCTTGAATTTGCTTTAAATCACCCACTTCTTTGACAACTTCTCAATTTTGCATATTTCGAGAAAGAGGATGTCTGTCTTTGGTATGACCAAGTCATTGTCTGTGTGGTACAGCTAGACGAACAGGGAACTTCCTCTACTAGACAGATGCCATGATAGATCAATCGGAATTTGAACAATGGGTCTGACTCCCGAGGGGCGACACAGATAGACAGAGCAATAGAGAGAGATGCCAACTATGGAATACAGCAAACCCCTCTGCTCAACTGGCACGTGCTTTATTTGCAAGAAATCAGGGGTGAGGAGAGCATGTAACAGACCTTTCTGTGGGCTGCCAGCTCCCATATAATAACACAAAGACGCTTTATAAATTGTGACAGCTTGACCTTAGCTTAGGCTTGTTCCCTACTAGCTATTAACACTTAAATTAACCCATTTGTATTAATCTAGAATCTGCCACATACCTTGTTACCTCTCCTCAGTACCCTAATTCTGACTTCTTCCATGTCTGACTGGAGAATCTTGTATTCCCCCAATTCTTCCTTAGAGTTCCTATATCTGCCCAGATCCTGCCTAATCTCTTCTGTCTAGCTATTGGACATTCAGGTCTTCATTAAACCAATCATTGAGGAAGGAGAGAAATTCATCTTCACGTAGTGTATACAAAGATTATTCCAACATTTCCCCCTTTTAGAATTCCAATGAAATTCAGGGATTTCTCCGGTCACTGTGCTGGGGCCACGCAGAGGGACACAGCCTGGAAAACACAAGTACCAGTACTGCACCCTCACAGCTGCATGGGGTCAGGGGTCTTTTGGTCAGTTCTTAGCGAATGCTCTGGTCTGGAGGAAGCAATGAGAAAGAAGACAGGTCAGACCAGAAGTTAGGACTGAGATGAGGACCTCTGTTGTCCTTAAGAGCGCACAGGGAGGGGACATGTCCCTGGAGAAAGGAAGGGACCTGGAAGAAACAACACTCTGTGTGTGTGTGTGTGTGTGTGTGTGTGTGTGAAAGAGAGAGAGAGAATGTTTGTGTGTGTGTGAGATTGTGCGTGTGAGAGTGTGTGTATGTTTGTGTGTGTGTGAAAAAGAGAAAGAGAGATACAGAGAGAGAGAGAGAGAGAGAGAGAGAGAGAGAGAGAGAGAAAAGAGATTTTACTGATGTACATATATGTGTGTAGATCTCTGTGGATGGTATATGTGCCTCTGTGGGATTGAGTACCTGTGTGTTTGGTATGCACACATATGTATGCAGATACATGTGTGTGCACCATAGAGATTGTGTTGTTTTCTGGCCATGACTTCATAGTCAGCCCTCAGTAGGCCCCAACTGTCTCAGATGTGGTAAACATGTCTGTACTGTGTCCTGAAGCCTCACACCACCTGGGAGGCCATGCTGGTCTCTCTTGTTCAGCCCACTCTCTGCCTTCTCTCTAAGCCCCATCTTCCTTTGCTGGCTGCTCTCGTCCACCTCCCATCCCCCTGTCACACCCTCTCACTTGCACCAGGCATTCTCCTTTCAAAGCTGAAAGCCCCCCACCCTGTCCTGTGCTCACCTGAGACCTGCAGGAGGAGCAGAGCTGAAGGCAGCCACACTCCCAACACTCTCAGGGTCATTTCTTCAGCTCAGTTGTCACCTGCACCCACAACAAGCCCAAGAGAGGAGAAGGGACGCCTCCTTCTAGAACGTACAATGCACATGTACCTTGTTCTCCTTCCTGTTCTCTGCTTCCTGGTCCCTTGTGAGGCTCCAGAGGAACCTGTACAGGAAGGGCTCTGAAGATGCTCCAGGCTCCAGGGGCACTTGTTCCTATCACTCCCAGTGAGGGGCACATCCATGGCCTTGGACTGAGGATGCCACCTGTCCCCCAGGCCCCAGCTAAGGGCTTCATAACATTCGCACTCCTTGAACAGCCCAGAGATTTTCTTATTTGTTCAGGCTGCTCAACCTCTGTGACACGTCACTTCCTGATTGGACTTGTGAGCTGTCCATCTTCTCTTGCTTCTTCTCTGTGAGCACAAAGGAACCACCTCCTTTCAAAATTCAGCTTAGCTGTCCACAGCATGCTCTTAGTCCATGGGGTCTCTGGCACTGTTTCTGGCTTCACACAGCTGGGATTCTGATACCTCAATCAGAGTTCATCTTGATGTTGAACCCCCACTAAGTATAGTGATATTTCTTTTGTATTTTAATAAATAAAGCTTGCCCTAAGATCAAAGAATAAAACAACCTCACTCACTGGTCAACCTTACAGATCAGGCAGTGGGGACACACACCTTTAATCCTAATTTGCCATAAAAATTGGACAGTATTGGTGCATGCCTTTAATCCCAGTCCTAGGTAGGATTATAAAATGAGGGGAGGCATCTCTCACACACAGTCTCATTCTGAGATTCCTGGAGGCATTATCACCATTTCAGACTGAGGTTAAGGTAAGAGCCAGTGGCTGCTGTTTTGCTTTTCTGAACCTCAAGTTAAACCCTAATTTCTGTCTCTGAGTTTTTATCAATTGTGCACCAGAAACCAGGCTGACTGGAATTCACTATTTAACTCCAACTGAACTTGAACTCACAGAAGTCCTCCTCCCTTGAGTCTATCTGA